TTTACTGGTATCTTATTCTGGATTTTTGTAGTTTCCTTTTATTGTGGTGACCCTGTCTGATTTGAGTATCTGTGATACGTTTGCTTCACAGGATGCTGGCCTTTTTAAAATGCTGTACATTTCCCCACATATCTCACGAGAAGTCTCAGGCATACCCTATGCATCTGTCTCCATCTCTTTATAAATCCCTATCTTAGCAAGTGACTAATTATCTAGAGGGGGGTGTCTAAAGAATGCTGCTCTAAGTATCCTGTGCTTCCTTGGTCTCTACTGAGAGGTCTTTCCTCCCATTCCAACCACCTTGTTTAACGAGCTCCCTAGGGTCCGTGCCTGTGGAGACTGCTATCTCCTTGGGGTAAGGTCACGTGCAGGACAGACAGGTACTTCCAAGTCTCCATCCTATCCCGTATCATCTAATGGAACCTGAAAGGGCCTCGTGGTGGACAGTTGGGAATGGAAGAAAGGTTCATGATTCCAGTGCCTGGGGTGGCATTGAGGGGTCACTTCTCGGGAGGAGGAGGAAGAAAAGTGGCCATCTCCGGGGCTGACATTTTCATCACTAGGCTAAGACAACAATCACACTTGCTCCCCACACGCAGCATTACAGATCCTGACATCTTCCACCAGAATCTGGGACACTCTGATTTTCCTGGTCTAATATGAGCATTCTTTCTCTACCCCAAGCCTTCCATCCCTGCTCTAGACATCAGGGCAAACAAGACTAAGGAGAAGATGCTTGGATCCTCCTAAGACCACCCTGGAGGTCACTGTCCATACCTGAGTAAGTAGCTGGTATCTTCAAACATATCCAACCTAAGCATCTCTCACTCACAGTGTCAGAACTTTAGACATGATCTTCTCTAATATTTTCATTTTATAGAGAAGGAAAATTAATTTCCTAATAATATTCAGCAAGTTGGTCTCAAAACTGGGACTACAAACCTGGTCATTTGATTTTAGTACTATAACTCTTCTCTGTCTTTGAGTACCTCTAAGTCCTCTACACAACTCTGTTTTCCTTCCCTATCCACAATTAGATTTGATAATAATGGACTGAATAAAACCCTGAGCAAAGTAATTAACCTTTTTAGAGAAAGCATTTAGCAGTGGATACGTTGATGGGTAAAAGTTCACCTTTCATCACCGTGACCTGACATTAGAGTTCTCGAAAACAGTCCTACTAAAGAGAGTCCACCTTAATGGTCTCTATCCAACTTCAAAGCAGCATGGGACCCACATTCTGGAAAAGGCTGAACTTGAAAAAGGGGAAAGAGGAGAAAATTCCCCTGACCTGGGTTGCCTTATCAGCTGTTTTTAATTTACCGATACACACATATGAAACCATACTCGTAGCCATCAAGTCAATTCCGACCCATGGCAACGTTGGAGGAAAGAGTAGAACTGCCCCATGGGGTTTCCAAGGCTGCCGTGGACCTTTACAGAGTGGACGGCACTTCCTCACGCAGAGTGGCTGGGGGGTTCAAACCACACTGACTTCTCAGTTAGAAAGCAAGTGTTTAACCACGTGCACCACTAGGGCTCCTCAATGAACTCCTAATGTGATAGTAAATAACCCCCTGAGTTAGGTAGTTTCTAAGATCCCTTAGCTTCCTAACAATACAGACTCTTAGAGGTTTGGGCTCTCCCTCGAGATTTCACATTCTCGGTGGACATACGTGGCTGCTACCTTGGAGTGGCAGTCGTGCCAGGGCTAGTGGAAGAGGACAAGTAAAGATGGGAACGGACCTGACCTCATGTTCTGGGGAAGGGGTAGGAAGGTGGAGGCTAGTTCACATAAAGGGGGCTGGGCAACTTCTTGTATGGGTTTCTCACATAAAAGAATGACTGTTGGCATTCAGCAGAACTTGCTAGATGTTTTTAAAACAATATTTTCACATATAAAAGAAAATCAAAATTGTAATCACTTACCATAACTGAATGGAGCCCTGGTGGTATAGTAGTCACGCATTGGGTTCATCGTTAAGTCAGCAGTTCTAACTCTCCAACTGCTCCTTGGGAGAAAGACAAGGCTTTCTTCTCCCCGAAAGAGGTGATAGTCTCAGAAACCCTCTGGAGCAGTCTGCTCTGGCTCCATAGGGTCCCTGGAAGTCAGCATCAACTTGAGGGCAGTGAGTTTGTTTCTTGTTGTTGCTGTTTGACCGTGGCTGAGGTAGGTCAGCTAAGAAAGGATATCAGAACTGCTGGACTTTGAATTCTTCACTCTTGACTTTAACTACACCCAAAACGTAGACATAGCTTATTGGGACTGCATGGGTAGAAATTAGAAGACATTGAGTAAGTTTCTTGGCACTAAAATATTAAAAATGAATGGCCACTACCAGAGCTGTTAGAGACAGAAAAGCAGGCTTTTTCTCCTCTCCACCCAGGAAAATCCAATCAGGTTCCTTTTCCTCTCAACCCAGGAAAATCCAATCCGGTTCCTTCTCCTCTCCACCCAGGAAAATCTAATACCTCTGGTGTTTCACTTTTCTGCCCTTCAATCCTCTCCAGCTTAGGTTTTGGTTTCTATCCAGAAACCATTGCAACTACTTTGTGCGCGCGCACACGTGTGCACGTGTGCACACACACACACATGCTTATTTTCATATATCATTCCTCTCTTTACAAGAGTTTGTGTTTAACTTGGCCTTAACCAAGTAAACCAGGTAATATATATTAATTATGAACATTATTGTTTTTACATATTTTATACCACTGCATGTATAGATTTATATAGTAACTGTTAGCTTTCAAAGCATATTTCAGACACGTACAATCATTTGATAACAATGACATTTTTGCCATGACAAAAATAATGAGGTAAAAAGATATTCCAAAATGAATAGCTCATAAGTATCTAACCTAAACTAAATGAAGCCTGAACTTTGGACTAGACCCCCAAACCAACTCTTTCCACAAATTCTCTTGGATCCTATGAATCTTGTTCTGCTCACTGTGCAACACCCTGAATTCTTTAAAGTTGGCATTTCTGGATTTATTCTGTAGCAACTATTTAAAGGCAGAAAGGTAACAAGAGTTAAGAGCTGTGAAACCAAACTGCTTGCACTGGAATTACAGACATTTACTACCAAAGTATAGTCTCAGAAACACAGGGGCAGTTCTACCCTGCCTTAGAGGGTGACTGAGTCAGCATTAATTCAATGACAGTGAGCTTGTTTTTTGTTTGGGGGTTGGGATTTTTTTGTTTGATTTGGTTTTGGGTACCAGTGTCTAAACAGATTGTTGAGCATCTCTGTGATCATGCTGTAACTTAATTTCCTCATCTGAATAGTGACATGGTTATTTTGAGGATTTGATCATTATATAGTGCTTCAAATAAAAATTTAAAAATCACTGCCATTGAATTGATTCTAGTTCATAGCAACCCTATAGTAAAGAGTAAAATTGCCACTGTGGATTTCTGAAACTGCAAATCTTTACCAAAGTAGAAAGCCTCCTCTCTCTCCCCCACGGAATAGCTGGTTTCAAACTTCAGCCACTGAAGTTGGGGGTTAGCAGCTGCAATGCATAATTCACTACACAATCCACGAGGGCTCATACAGTGCCTAGTACATGGGAAATCTTCTTTCTGATATTTTTGCTATGCACCTCCTACAAGGATACCATAGTAGCTGATATTCAGTGTTGACTAGCCAAACAGGTCCCTGTGTTTGGAGAATTAATATCCTGAGCCTTTTCCATGGTAATCGTGTTTCATGTGTCCTTTGTGTGAGAAACCAATTGGTCCAAAGTCCCAGGCACTTTGAGAAGAAAAGAGATGTTTCAGCAACCTACATGTTCATCTTAGAAAAACTCCTGGAGGCATACAAACAGTATGAATTCTCTCCAGCAAGGTGAAAATTTTCATCGAAGTTTTACAGAGCAAAAAAAATGGATTAGTACTAAGAACCAACTCAATGAGACCTAACAGGATTTCCTGGATGTCAACTTCTTGGTCTCTTTTCTTAGACCTCTTCTTCACCCTTTATCTGATCACTTGACAGACAAGGGAGGGTGACTCCCTACTCTCTACTCTGGAACTCAAATCCTGTCCCTGGGCAAAATTAGTGATAATAGATCCCATCAGGGAAGCCAGTGGGCTCAGCATCAAGTCACCTGACTCAGAGCCAGGTTCTGACCCTGGGTCTGAGAGCAGGAATTGATTTTCTGATCTGACTCTCTTGTAACTGAGTCCCTGCCTTATATGGAGATTGATCAGGAAGACATACTAGTCCATTCTGACTAGGGCCCTGCTTTGTTCTCTTGGGATATTGCTCCTCTGTAGGACAAAAGTCTAGTTCCTAAAGCCAGACCCATTAGTGTAATCTGTCAGCATAGCTGCATCTTATTTAGTTTTGTGCTGAAACAATCACACACTCTACTGGACTCTAATCTACTGTCCACACATGTGCTTGTCATTTCTGGAGATTTTTCAGGAGTTATCTGAAACAAAAGCTTCAACCAAAGCAGATATATGCCTCTTTCTCCTTGAAGGTGCTTCATTCCCCGGGCCACTTGGTTCCAGACGTGATTCTATCCCCAGACTGCATAATTCCTCCCATGTTCTGGGAGATTGCTGTTTTCTAGATCCCTGGCTCCCCCAGAGCCATTAGACACACTTTAGGTAAAGAGGTTGGAGCTGAGGAAAACATCTCTAGGATTATATGTGCTTTGTTAAAGAAGAATAAGTTAAGATATTCTTATATCCATAAACAGAAGAAGGAGAGAAATCCTGGTCAAAACAGAATTATCTGAGAGTGGACTTTATCATTTATTTATACATGTATATTAGACACATCAAAGCTTAAGAGACAAAGTGTCTTATTCATGTTCACAGTGCAAATCAATGATGGAGCCAGAATGAAAGGTCACACCTGTATGACATAAAATTCACACCCTTGTCAACTATGCCAGTCATTCATCTAAGTTATAGCAACCAAAGACAGCAAAACAGGACGCAGACCTAATAATCTTTCATCTTTTCTACCCACCAGGCTGCAATGCCGAGGGGAAACCAGAGCCACATCACCGAATTCCTCCTCCTGGGGCTGACAGCTGACCCCAAGCAGCAGCTCTGGCTCTTTGCCATTTTCCTGGCCATGTACCTGATCAACGTGGTTGGAAACTCAGTCATCATTGCAGCCATCCGAGGAGATGTCCGCCTCCACACTCCCATGTACTTCTTCCTCTCCAACCTGTCCCTGGTCGACATCTGCTTTACAAACGTCATTGTGCCAAGGATGCTGGCAAACATGATGAGCAAGAGCAAGAAAGTCCCCTTTGCCCAGTGTCTCATGCAGATGTATTTCTTCGTGGCCTGTGCCATCACTGACAGTTTCCTCCTGGCTGCCATGGCCATTGACCGCTATGTGGCCATCTGTAACCCACTGCATTACACCACAACCATGAGCCCCAGGCGCTGTCTCCTGCTGGTGGTGGCATCCTGGGTGGTGTCCCACCTCCACTCACTCACCCACACGGTTCTCATGGCCCGCCTCTCCTTCTGTGGATCCAACATCATCCACCACTTTTTCTGTGACGTCCAGCCACTGCTAACGCTCTCCTGCTCTGATACCTCTGTCAATGAACTTCTGGCCTTCACAGAGGGCTCCTTTGTAATCATGAGTCCCTTTATCTTCATTATTGTGTCTTATGTATACATTGCTCGTGCTGTCCTGAGGGTCCCTTCAGGAAGAGGCAGATACAAGGTCTTCTCCACCTGTGGATCCCACCTCACAGTGGTGGCACTCTACTATGGAACTGCCATCTCAGTGTACATTCGCCCCTCATCCACCTACTCGGTGACAAAGGACCGCGTGGTCACTGTCGTCTACACCGTGGTAATCCCCATGCTGAACCCTTTCATCTACAGCCTTCGGAACAAGGACATGAAACAGGCTTTGAGAAAGTTGACTAAGAGAACAGAATAATATGCATGCATTTTACTACCTCTAGAAGCTAAGTCATTGATTTGATAATCATAGGTGCAGCATAGAATTCTGAGTGGAAAGCAAAATAAATCATAGGTTGATCCTCAAACGTACGTATAGTCTATTAAGCAGAAAGAAGGTTGTCAGCAGCTTACTATAATAAAACTTTACCTTACTTTTTCATAAAAAATTAAATGAGTCATGGTTATAAATATCTTAATAAATTATAAGTATCCAGCTTCTCCCCCTCCTTCCATCTCCTATTCCTTCTTTTGCATTTTCTAGCTTCCACATCTTATGTAAATTAAAATGTAGACCAACATTTCACCATCAAACGGGAGAAATCGTCTTCTGAATTGATATTTTTGATAGTTTAGTCACATGGCTTGTTTTTGACTAAATATGTTATTCATTCTTATTAAGTTCCCTCATGCCTCCCTAAAGTCAATTAGTGCTTGAGCCATTTAGTAACATTCTTGATTGCACTATAGCTGTTCGCTTAGACTAAGGAGAAAATGGACGAGTAAGTCATTGTGGAAAATGTCCTGGAATTCTAAGTTCAGAAACTTTAAATTAAGTCACAATGTGGCTGTGTTAGACAGGATTCTCTAGAGAGACAAAACCAGATTGCTAATACTTTTATATATGTTTATACAGATAGATAACATAGGAAATAAACAGTTAATTAAAGTATAAAGCAGTACAAATGGCTCAGTGCAACTCACTCCCGTGAGACAGTTGTGAGACACTGGCAGTCCTTCAAGTCTTGAGGGCCACCGCATAGTCCTCTGTAGAGAAATTCAGGCTATCTGGGCACAGACAGCAAACAGTAAGGCAGGTCACCAACAGTCAGCCAGATGACAGGATCTGACAGTCCCCAGCTCAAAAGATGTAAATTCCAATGGTGTGACAAAGCAGGTCTTGTAGGAACCTCAGATTACAGCGAAACAGTCCACGAGTTAGATGCCCCACAGGTAGTGTAGCTTGCAAATTGAGGCAAAGAACAAGCAAGGCAGCTGCACACTGGTCCGATGATCAAAGAGCAAGAGACAAGAAAGGTGAGGCTCACCGAGCCATTTATTGCTCTGTCTTTCAATTAATCCCACATGTGTTTATCAGCCAGGTTGGCACAATAAACTAACTACTTCAGTGGCCTTCCAAGAATAAAGATTAGTCATTCTATCACTATTGGTTTTATTTTTAACAATAACAAAATAGGCACAATAGAATAGTTTACCCTGTGGTGGTACTAGTAAATGAAATGAAGTGTTTGAAAGGGTTAACATTTACATGAACTTAGGTGAAAATTCCAGGTCTTGCCATTTTTCAGCCATATTATTTATTTATGTATGAAAGTTTTGTTGTAGTTTAGGGGAGAGTTTGCAGAACGGATTCACCTTCCGTTCAACAAGGCATATACCTTTTTTTTTCTGGTTGCGATCCCCTCAATATAACAGAACTCTTCTCACTTCCTCCTTGGGTCCCCCAATTCCATTTTCCTTCATTCCTGCCCCTTTCTGCCTTCTGAGCTTTGTTTTGGGGCAAATGCTGCCCATTTGGTTTTATCTAGTTGATTGCACTAAGATTACACTCTCTTGTCTTATTACTCACTTTATAGGCCTGACCACTGTTTGGCCAAAAGTGGATCCCTGAGCAGGATTTCAGTTCCAGGCTGGAGGGGTATGTAAGGTTCACAATCGCAAAGATTACATCAGTCTCTATCAGACCAGTACATTTGGCCATTTGTATGATCGAATTTTGTTCTACATTATTTTCTCCCTTTCTATCCAGGACTAGTTTTTAAAATAAGAAAAAAAATTCGTTTCTTGGCTCAGAAGGCATATTGCCTGAAGGGTCAGGCATGGAGTGGGGTAGAGAGGGAGTGGCAGTCTGGTATGGTTCGTGCCCAACCAGAGTGCAAAGCATCTCCACATGCTATAAGATCAACCTGTCATGGGGTGGCAGGATGGCATAGGATGAGAACAGCATCTACACAGAACAAGCAGCCTGGCATGGGTTACCAGATTCCAAGAGGGTGAGGAGGGTGCCCATATCAGAGGGCAACTGTCGTGAGGAGTCAGAATTTAAGCAGGATGCAGTGAGCATCTCAACATGAGGACAGCATGGTACTAGTGCCCAAAGGGATCTCCTTTGGACGTGTGAAGCAGGTGATGAGTTAATTCACCTGGTTTGGGGGAGTTCACAATAGTGCCAGCCTGTCACAGGGGTTTCAGAACCCATTCATAACAGGGAAGATGTGCACCCAAGGAAACCCTAACATGACTACCAGAGGAGGGTGTCACACAAGGGGCTGTCCTAACTTAGAGTCAAAGTCCAAGGAAGGTGTAGAGGGCCGTCTTGACAGGGGTAGTGAGAGCACAAAGGGATAAAAACTCCCTCCCTACATGGGGGTAACCAGGTGTAGACTGTCAGTCTGAGCAGGGAGAAAAGAATGGTTACAATGTGGGCAGCCTGTCATGTGAAAGCCCAAGCGGGGTGAAAAAGAGGGCTTCCATGCAGGGAGAGCAGAGAGTCAAAACAGCTGTATCTGTGGAGAAGCAATCTCGTTTGGGTAATGGGAGTCCAGACAGGCTAAGAAGGGTGTCCCTGCTTGAAAGAAACCAGCACGGAGTGTTGGAGCCTAGGTAGGGTGAGACGGCCATCTATGCATTGGGGCATCGTAGAGAAGAAAGTCAGGCCCCAAAGTGGATATTCAGGAGCGTGTTCTTGTTTGGAGAAAACATGTAACAAAAAATTTGGGGGGAAAGGAATGTGAGTGGGCTGCTCACCACATGGTCAGCCTTTCGAAACCACCAGGCTCTCTGCAGGTGAAAGATGAGGCTTTCTGTTCCCATCAAGCATTACAGTCTCATGTCTAAGGGGCGCACCTTCTAGAGACCCCATTGCTCTTCCGGCAGTCAAGGCTGGAGCCATCTAGTACCCCACCCCTACCTGGTGATACCTTTAACTTTCAGTGTGGCCCCTTTGTGGCTATCCCACAACCAGTTCAGATGAGGTGCCAAGCGCTGCCCCCCAAGTCAGATGTCTGCTATCGAGACTCCCCAGGACTTCGTGGTTTTTCTCCCAATGCTGGTCTGGTGCACTCCCCTCTTGGTTTGCCCCTGTGTGGGCGAGTCAGACCAGCCACACTCCCCAAACTATGTCTTCAGTGCTGTCCTCTGTAGCGCTGTCATCTACGGAAGGACTATCATGTCTCGAGTAGGAACTGGCCCTGCAGACCTCTCTCTGGACAAGCTGCTCCATGCAGGAACATTGCCCTCAAGGCTGGGCACCTTGGAATGAGATCTACTCTCTCTCTCCCTTTCCTGTGGGATACAAGCAATACTCTCTTCCTTGAGCTTAAGGGATATACGTGCTGTTAGTTAAGCGAATCCTGGGAAATGGAGTCCCAAAAGAAAAGGGGAATAGACCAATGGATTGGGGTCAGGAAAATAGTTAGACTTGGAACTATTTGCATGGACTTTTGTTGTTGTTGTTATTGCTTTGTTTCTCTCTCTCTTTTTCTTTCTCTTCTGGTGTCTATATAACATAGGCAGGATAAATATGTAAATACAATAAGGAAGCAATAGGACTTTGGGCTTCCACTTTAATCTTACCTCAGTTCAAGAATGGTTTGTTCTAATAATGTGACATTGTATGGTACTCACCTACCTGACACAATCACTGAAGACAAAATTGGTGCATAAGCAAATGTAGGGGAGAAAACCAGCTATTAAAAGATATAGCATCTGGGGTCTTAAAGGCTTGGAGTTAAACAAGCAGCCATCTAGCAGGGAAGCAACAAAGCCCACATGAAAGAAACACACCAGCTGGTGTGATCATGAGGTGTTGATGAGATCAGGTATCAGGCATCCAAAAACAAAAAATCATATCAATGTGAATGAGAGGGAAAGCAGAGTGGAGACCCAAAGTCCATCTGTAGACAATTGGACATCTTTGTACAGAAGGGTCACAATGAAGAGATGAGCCAGTCAAGGTGCAGTACAGCACCGATAAAAACATATAACTTTCCTCTAGTTCTTTAATGTAACCCGCCCCCCCTCCACCAACTATCATAACCCCATTTCTACCTTACAAATCCGGCTAGACCACAGTATGTACATGGGTACAGATAAGAGCTCGCAACACAGGGAATCCAGGACAGATAAACCTCTCAAGACCAATAATGAGTAGGGTTACCAGGAGGGGAAGAGGAAAGTGGGGGTAGAGAAGAGGAACCGATCACAATGATCGATATATAACCCCCTCCCAGGGGGACAGACAACAGAAAAGTGGGTGAAGGGAGAGACAGAGATCGGTGTAAGACATAAAAAAATAATAATTTATAAATTATCAAGGGTTCATGAGGAAGGTAGGGAGGGAGGAGGGAGGGAAATGAACTGATACCAAGGCCTCAAGTAGAAAGAAAATGTTTTGAAAATGATGATGTTAACAAATTTACAAATGTACTTGACACAATGGATGGATGGATTTTGATAAGAACTGTAAGAGCTCCAGTAAAATGATTTTTAAAGTATTTTTTAATCTAATGAAAGTATTCACTATCATAAGATAGAATATCAACCTAGTGTTAACTTTTTAATGAGATATTGGAATACGTATTAAAAACTGGCAAAAATGTATCTCCAGGAAATAAAGATGTGCTTCTAGCCAATAAAGATGTGTGTGTGTGTGTATAATCAGATCATTGTATCTTACTTTGTGTTTCTACTTAATGTAATTGATATTCAAACTTTCTGTTAAATTCAATCATTTGATTTAAGTAATCAAATCATTAGCAATTCAATACTGTTGTCAACTCAACACCGCTGTCAACTCAATATTGTTTCAACTCAACTTCACCTTCACTCTGAAAATTCATTTCCTAGAGTACCTTTTTTGCTATTGTTCTGGTTTAGTTAGCTGGTGAAAGAAACTTGGATGATATTTATTACACAGAAGTGAAGTGAAAGACATTACTCTCTAGAGACAGACGAAGC